CCACACCCTTACCAGTGACGACCAACGTCGAGGTAGCCAACTTATCCCTGTTTCTGATACAGGGAAAAGTTATCGATTAAATTAAAATCCCAGCTGCTTGAATGAATTTGACATTAAACTTGATCCCTCCAGAGACTGTATAAATGTGAAAGAATAATATTTAATTATGCGTAACCGTTTTCTGCTAGCAACCTAAAGCGAGAAGGTATACTAACCTTGATCCGTGGAAAAAATAACTTCCGCAAATACATTTAAAGAGCAGCAGTTACCGAAAACCTCCTTTATCAATGCAAAACACTTTGCGACACCTAGATTGGTGTGTGCAGGAGACCAATAACAAGGCACCCCGTATTAACTTTTCATACAACTCGTCAGGTGGGATGAATATTTTCTTCTTTTGATGAGTAAAACGAAACTCATCAAAAAACTAGCTCAGCGCATGCTGAATTACTCCTCGGCCACCAGTGAGATAAATCCATTGCCAAATGGACGGGTTACACGATTTGAATGTGTTGGTAAAATCAATACGTGCTCTGCTTTGTTGGGTGCTCCATAACGGCTTCCTATCACGTGGCCTCAGTTGCACTTTAAATGGAGCCATCATTTTCCAAACGGTAGCGAGAGGGAAAACGGCTAATCAGAGCAGACTATTCTCCAGATTGGTTTGGTGCAACTCTACTCTGCTGCGACCAAATACAACCATCGTCTTGTTTTCATGTAATCAGTTTTCTTCCTCTCGGTTTATGTCTTGATGGATAAATTTCGTTGAATATGCAACAAAGAGGACCTATGTTCACATCGAAGCATTTCCACATGACGCTAATTGAGTCACCGGATTTATGGACCTCTAGATTAAGCTGCCTCTAGGCTTCAATTATATGCCAAAACCTTTTGAATGTTTTATCCGGTTTGAGTACGGTGACACTACAAGACGCTTATTCAACGAGCGGTACACTTCAAGGTCAACTTTCGAAGATTGACATGCATGTTTCTGGGACTATATTTTCAGTTCTTACAGTATGTTGAATGATTCGTGCGTAGTTTGATAATTTATCGATTTATTTAGGCTAGAACATTTTTACTTATTTGCTTATTTACTGTGCATTGAAAAGAGATAAGCAATTTTCAATACGTGTGCTCAATCAAATAAACACCCTCAAGAAACAGGAATCATTTATTAAAAAGTATGAATTCCCATGCTGCTTTGCAAAAAAAGAATTACGAAATCTTATCTGTAACTATAGAACCACTACAAATTTCATCGCAACCCTCATGGTCGCGCAGATTCAAACGGTGTTAGAAGAGAACGAAGAACATGGAAGTGGGAGATAAAATCAGGAATAGATACACTTTACCCATCAATATACAAGTACGATACTGGAAATTGAAATGCATTTCCGAAATGAGAGTGATGTTGCACGAGTTTGATCAACACCTGTACTTTAGATTTGATG